ATTTTCAATCATCTTGGGTGTTGAATTATTGAAGATTAATGATTATTCACCCAATAGCTAATAAAAATGATGCTATATAAGGGTGGTTATTTCAGAAGCTTATATACATAAATAGTAAGCGTTAGGTTTGGGTGAAGTCACTTTCACTACTTGAAATTGAAATGGTTTTGTAAATCTTACTACAGATCACTTCTTCCTGAAATAAAAGGACTGACATAACATTCAAGACCTGATTGCTTTGTTTTCATACTTTCCTGTATGCTGGGAAGGATCTACTTTTTTTGTAATATTTTATTTTCCACAAACCTTGCCTGAATTTGGAAACTACGTATCTTTTTAAAGAGATTGGGCACTTTCATTAACATTTAACACCAAGTCTTTTAGTCTTTTTAGCTATCAGATACTTCGTAGGTACTTGCTTCTGATTCTGATCCTTAAAATTTCAGGCGCAGATTGTTCTGTTAGTGATCCTGCTACTTGCTATTGGGGACTTTGTCATAGGAACTTTTATTCCAGTGGAGAGCAAGAAGCTTAAAGGTTTCTTTGGTTATAAAGGTATGTTAGAATAGTTAAATATCTTGTAATGCCAAGTCTTATAGAAGAACACTGAAGATTTTAGAACTATTTGAATTGGTTGAAATGTTGCAGATACTGTATTTCTGTTCTGTCCATATTGCAAAAAGTCTAAACCATGCTGTATTGCACATTAAAGTTTTTGTCTGTTCCTCCAGATATTTTTTTGGTAATTTAATATCCCTAAACCTTTTAAATTAGCAATAACATTTTTTCTGGTAATCTCATGCGAGTTATATTTATTAAGTACTAAATATTGCATTATTGCTTTTTAAATTGGGTGTTTCTCTATAAATATGGGTTCATATGTGGATGGGTTTGTTTTCATTTTAGGGCTAGAGAAATTTAAAGGTGGGTGTGGGTGCATGCACTGGGCTGGCTCCAGCATCCTTACCTGGGGTCATTGGGCCTCCTAGGGTTGCAGATGTGGTGATCCTGCCACTTGGAGCCTGACTGGTAGCCACAGCATGGCTCTGGGCAGCCAGGCTCTGCTTTTGCCCTCGTGTGTGCTGGTCCACTTTTTTGCACAGGTTTTTTTTGACCTTTGGATATGCAGGAGTCAAAAAGAACCCCTGCACTGCTACCTTGCAGTGCAGAGAACAGCTGAATGTGTGGTATGTGGCACCACGTACTACACGACCACACTCATCTAATGCAGCCATTGTGCAACTAGGGACCAGGCACAGGTCTTGGACCAGTTTTGCAAAAGTGAAAAATATCCAAGTGGAATTGCTAAATGTTAAAGGCTTCATATAAATAAAATAAATTAAAAAAAAAAAACTGTTTCTTTAACAGCTGAAATATTTACTGAGAATTTTGGACCAGACTTCAGAGGTGAGGAAACATTCTTCTCTGTGTTTGCCATTTTCTTCCCTGCTGCAACTGGTATTCTTGCTGGCGCAAATATCTCAGGTGACCTTGCGGTGAGTAGTGAATTGTACACTGTTGCTTCCTGTAAGATTTATGTATTGGTATTTCAAGTATTCATTGAAATGTTTCTTTCAGGATCCCCAATCAGCCATACCTAAAGGAACATTGTTGGCCATCTTAATCACTACTCTGGTTTACACGGGAGTTGCAGTATCTGTAGGTAAACAGCTGATTTTATTTTATTTTTACTTCCCAAGGTGTGTTTTGATATGGCTTGTTCACATTAATCTTTCATATTTAGGTTAAATAAGATGCCTGTAGTTAGGATTTTCTGTCACTTTCCTTTTGTAAACCCCAGTATTTCAGCTGCTTCAGACTTGTCAAAGATTGTGCAGACTGAAATGTTTGTTCTGCTTTGGTCTGAATAATACTGGGTTCCACAGTTTCAGAAAATGAAGGTAATTAGAAGAGACTTGAATCAGTAAGTCTTATGCCATTTTAAATGCCATTAGTGTTTCCATCATTTTTAGTCTGATAGTTTGCCAGGGTAGGGTTCTGGGGTTGGAGAATTGCCTTTTACCCTTATCAGGGAATACTTAAGTAAATTTGTCTGAATTTTGTATAACCCTAGGTAAACCAGTTTCAGTATGGTCAGACCTCTTCATTTAATGCTCTGCACTGCTCTAAAGCTTCAGTGAGTAGCCACTTTCCTTAAGAGTTTACATGTTATCTGGGAGGAAATAACTTACGTTATCTAAAGAGCATGAGTTTATCTTGCCTTTTTATCAGTTTGGTCTCTTTCTGTACTTTCTAACCCTGTAAATGGACACAGGACTGAAAAGCATCTCCTGAAACAGTCCCCTTCTGTCACAGGCATTACATTGTATCTTATCCCTTTCATAAATTTGTAAAGCTCTGTCTTGAAAGCAGCTGATGATTTACCCTGTCTGCACCCAGTAGAATCAGCCAGTAAAAGGCTTTAGAATCTGGTTATTTCTGACCATTACAAAATTCTTCAAATTTCTAGTTTTTAAATTTATTCATGGCTAGTTTATGCCCATTTGTTCTAATGCCAGCTTTGCTCATTAGTTCTTCCTCTCTGGTGTTTACCACTGATTTTCATATTTAGGTGGCAATTTAATCTTTACAACCTTTGTTTTGCTTGACCAAACAAGCCAAACTCTTCCTCCTTGTGTGTGTTTTCTGATCATAGAAGGCCTTTTTTGAACACACAAACACAGGTGACTATAATAATATACATTATTTCTAGATGAGGTCTTACAAATGTGTTGCACAGTGGCATTAATACTTAGTTATGGGGAGAAACCCCTCCTAAGCTATGGTAAAATCAAAGCTGCATTATACTGGTACCTCATACTCGTCCTGTTATCATTTAGTATACTTTGGCCCTTCTCTACCTGTATAGTTGTCAGATGATGAGTTCCCAGTTTGTAATAAAAGACTTGTTTTGTTTGTTTGTTTGTTATTGGTCCTCAAGTGTGTGATCTTGCAGTTTGTACTATTGAATTTTATTTTATTTCTAGTACATCAATATTCATAGTCATTGTGTCTTGATTTTTCTGTTTTGATGTCTCCCACTTTTTTTTTTTTATTATTGGGTCAATTAAAACCTTTGATGGTTTTGATATAGGTTTGATGTAGGTTTTCCAAAACAGTCAGTGGGGGAGGCCTGTGTGTCAGAGGTGTTACAGAGACTGAAAAAGCACAAACAGCTCTAAGTTGGGCAAGATAGGCCCCTGGCATTAGCTCATTTAAAGCAGCTATTCCCAACCATCCTGAGCACAACAATTAAGACTGGACTGTTGATTTTTGTAAAACGTATTAAGCAAGATTTGATCTCAGAACTGGTGCTTCAGGAATTCCATTTACAGCTGTCTTCCTTTCACCATTGTCTGTTGCTGTCTCCCCATGAGCTGATCCTTTTACTATCTTTCACTTCCTCTACTCCCTTCTTCCCCAGCTTAACAAATATGGTGACTTACAGTTGATAGACTATCAAAAAGTTGGCATCTACTACTTTTGCTTTTTGTTTTGGAAAATCAGTCTGTCAGGGAGTGCCCTCCAGGAGAGAGCTTGCTCAGGACTTATGGATACTTGTCTGATCTCTGAGAGTAATCCTTGAAGTCAGCCCAGGCTTGGCTTCTACAGCGTATGTGGAGCCTGAGCTCCTTCCACTCTGAGACCTTGGCCTCACAGTCCCTCACTCACCCTGCTCCCCCATGGCCCTGACTCAAGGACACTGCATCCTCTTTCTCTCCTAAACGAGAGACTTTATGTCCATTTGGGGGTAACCCAGTGCAACCCACAGTTCCAAGCAGCACAGCAGACAGTCTCTTCATTAAAGGCATTTGAAGCAAAAGCTAGCCACCCGGAGGATCTCTGTCCCTGTAAAAGGGTTAAGCAGTCCCCCTATCCCCAGTCCAACCTGCACTGCGCTGAACACCCCCAAGATACTCAGTTGTTCCCTTTCACTTTTCTTCTGGCTCCCCAGAGCATTTCAAACTTTTGTCCCCCAGGATTTTCTGGCCTTGGACTGCTTTTTTTTTTGCCTGCTCTTCCCTGGACACCATCTGGGTTTTGGCTACGTCGCTTCTTCTGTTGATATGCCAACACAGCCATTCAGGACAGAAGTTAAAGGTCTATTTTCTTCTTTCTTATAGCCATTGTTGGCACTGAGACCCTCCTTTTGTGCACAGCCTAATGATGTAACCAGTTATATGATGTTATTACAACTTGAATGTCATTAACACAAAAAAAAATCACAATGGAACCTGTAGTCCACTGGTTTTCATGTAGATTGTGCCAAATTTAAGTTTTCATGAAGATCAGGTAGCATTTTGTCCCATTTTTCCCCTTTCTCTATTTTGAATTATCATTTTCTGTTAAGCCTTGACTACCATTAAGTACATTGGTTCGATATCGGATCAGTACCAATATAAAGAAAATTGACTATATCAGAAATTGTTGGATTGGTTTTTTGCCTGATGTGGCCGATTTTAATTTGGCAAATAAATGCCCTGTGCATGTGCGCAGCTGCAGTGCAGCATGTATGTGGCAAGGAGCACAGCCCAGCAGCATGGAGAGCTGCACACAGCTGGTAAGTCTGATAGAAAGGGAAGGAGGAAGGAAGGGGTGTGGGGGGAGGCAGATCAAGGCTTCTGTGGTGAGGGAGGGAGTGGGGCTGGGGTGGGGT